GTTTATTTTTGAGACAGAGAGAGAGACATAGTATGAGCAGGGGAGGGGTAGAGAGAGAGGGAGACAGAGAATCTGAAGCAGGCTCCAGGCTCTGAGCTGTCAGCACAGAGCCCAACATAGGGCTCGAACTCACAAGCTATGAGATCATGACCTGAGCCAAAGTGGGACACTCAACTGACTGAGCCACCTGGGTGCTCCGAAGGAGCATGGAATTTTTAATGCTATGTTAATATAGTTGTCTTCTGGATTATGAACTGAAACATCTGTTCAGTTTTAAATACTGGCAGTAAATCCAGCTATTCATGAAATAGTGTTTAAACTCCATTTAATAAGGTCACATTCTAGACAAACTCTTACCTTCTGATTTCACACAATCTGTTTATAATTTTATACATACTCAGAAACAGGAAACACCACTACAATTGTTTTAAAGCTTTAGGCTTATGTCTACATATATTTGGCAAGGTTTCTAAATGTTATTACAAATTAAGTCATTATTAGAAATAAACTCCTAAAAGGCTTTTAAAAAGTTAATAGCTTTGATTTTCATCACCACCAAAATTTATCGGAAAATAATGTCCAACTGGGATCTAAGACTGATAAGATGGCTTCTAAACTAACAGATTCACAAAATCAACCTAAATTTTGGGCACTGTAGATAAAATATTCAGACAAAATAAAAACAAAATGACAAGATGTTTGGGCTCAAGTAGATGGCAAACACTGTCTCTTCATTGTCTATATGGTTAATATTTATGGGTGAATCACTAATTCTTATGTGTATTAGGTATTAGGTTAGACCTGTGCTGAACATGTAAATGATATAAAAGATTGAGAATTGTTGATCAGAATGCCTCCTAAATGGCTTTAATGCCATTCACAGGAATGTTTTGATGAGGACCAGCAATACTGATGAAGACTGGATACATGTCTCAGACTCTTAGTTAAAGGAGGCAGGCTTTTTATAGACCAAAATTGTCACAAAATTGTCACAATAATTTAAAGCATTTTACAGCACACCAAAAAGTTACGCTGTTAAGAGTTAACTTTTCCTAGCCTTATCTAAATTGTATACTTCCTTTAAAAGTTCATGAAACAACTCAACCTTATTCAAAACTTCAAACTTTATTCCTTCTATCCAGAACATTTCCCTCTAAACTGTCATTTAACTTTTCTCCATATTCCCAAGTATCTTCCATCAGCCAAGGAAGAACACAAATCCAACTCTTTTATAAGGTCTGACCTAAATCCATCAGCACCCCATGATGTTCCCCTTTGAGCTGTTCCTGTCTGTACTGTTTATTTTAAACCAAGCATATCTAGCCTCTTTTATTTACATAACTAATGCACTTATGTCTTATTTTCCTAAGTGATTAGTTTCATCCTAACATTTTTTGTGTACTTCCTTATGTACACAAAGTACACTACCTTACGAAATGTTCTAGAAACTTAAAAACTTGTATAAATAGTTATTTTGGTCACTGGAAAACAGCATTGTTAATAAAGCTAAAATCTTAGGATTGAATCATATTTATATATAAATTTTTAAATATAAAGGTACATATATATGTTTAGCTGTGCTTTTGTTCTATGACTGCAAAATGGTATTTCCAGCTCTATTCTGTTGTCTTGAAATATGAACTGGTAAGAAAAGGAAGCTGAGTGAGGAGGTACTACAGGGACACAAATTTATCATTCTTACTCAGGACTGGGCATAAATGAGACTCACAGAGAATGTTCCGGGAATGGTAGGTGGAGAATGTAATCTTTGTACATGAATTACATTACTTTGGAGTTAGCCTATAATTTTCATTTTAAAAAGAGGTTGATTTGGAATTTTCTATGATCTATTTTTTAAAAAAGAAGGCAGTTTTTGAAGTAAAATAATGAAATCCAGACTAGAGAAAGAAAACATCAAAAAAAAAACTGTCATTAAGTAGCATCAAATATTTTGGAAACATTGATTTAAAAAAAAAAGTCAGGAAGATGTAATAAGATTGAATTCTATGGATCTATTAAAAGGATGAATTAGGAAGTGAATATAAAGGATTCTGTTTATTAGTTTGAGTTGTTTACTATTCAGAATTACAAGTTATAAATATGTATTACTTTTCAAAATATGTTGATTTTTTAATTTTCTAAGTTATTTCTTCTTGCCTTCATCTGTTTTTTTTTTTGTTTTTGTTTTGTTTTTTTGGAGAGAGAGAGAGAGCAAGAGCGTGAGAGCAGGGGAGAGGGACAGAGTGAGAGGGAGAGAGAAAATCTTAAGCAGGTATCACGCCAGCGTGGAGGCCGAAGCAGGGCTCGGTAAGATCTGATGTGAGCCGAAATCAAGAGTCAAATGCTTAGCTGACTGAGCCAGCTAGGTGCCCTAATTGCTCCTTTTTGCTGCCTTCCTCAAATTTCTATCGAGATTTTCCATTTCTCTGTTTGTATACCTACTGGAGGTTATTTTACTTCCATGTTGTAGAATATATGGATTTATAACTGAAGTTGGGTAAGGGTCACTCCTCAACTTTTCAACAAGGCTGGATTAATTTTCAGTAGGGGTAACAGCCTAGATTCTGGCTAAAGCTCCATCCTCAGATCTGGACATTCTTCATTAATAGTAATATTAATGGTATTCTGTTAGATTTAATTAGAAAGTGTTCTTCTGTAAAGACTTGGCTCAAAGTAGTAACAATGTAGCGGAAAGCTATACAAATCATCAGGATTAACAGAGGTAGTACCAGTACATTATTATTTTTGGAAAACAATGAATTTACCATTCATAGATCTGGAATAAAGGAAACATTCTTCCATAAAAGAAAAATATTTGGCTCATCTATTATTATAGTTATCAACAGACTGACAGTGTGATTAAAGGTTTGCTTTAACCAATTATTTCTGTAAAATAAAAATATAGTTCTAAACATACCACATGGTACACAGAATATTGCGTAAATATTCAGCAAAATTGTCTCTGAATAGTTTTACATATCAAGAGTTTATTTTGATGTAATTGAGGGATATGAAAAACAGGTAAAAAATAAATAGGCAAATCCAAAGGGAAAAATTTCTTTTTTACATAAAGGAAAACTTCATTTTCAAGACCTATCCTAATTCTAAGAACTTCCCATATGATGGAAAAAATATTAAAAATAGCAATTTAGTATGTGTGTGTGTGTGTGTGTGTATACAATGGCATGTTAATATAATTAAGGCAAGCATTACCAAAAAAATATGTTTTAAAAATATGCAGGTTAATTGAAGTTTAAAGATGTTCAGTGAATTGCTCTGGGGTCAAATCCTTAATTAAGAAGGAACAACCAGAAGTAGATAAGTCAGTCTTCTCATTCTTCGTACCAGGCTCTTTTCATGTCCAGGGCTGTCTTCTATTAATATCAACTGATGCTCCCAAGTGGCTTAAAAAAAATCCTGCTTGTAAATATCAAATGGAAGTCTATTTCTGTAATAAATATGCCATTTGTGGGGTGTCTGGGTGGCTCAGTTCGTTGAGCATCTGACTTCAGCTCAGGTCATGATCTCGTGTTCTTGGGTTTGAGCCCCACGTCGGGCTCTGTGCTGACAGCTGAGCCTGGAGCCTGCTTGGAATTCTGTGTCTCCCTCTCTCTCTGCCCCTCCCCTGCCCATGCTCTCTCAAAAAATAAAAATAAAAAGTTAAAAAAATTTTTAAAAAGAGCATGTAAATATGCCACTTGTTATATACAATTTTGTGCTTAGTCACTTTGTTAAGAAAGTCTTTCTAAAGCATATTCTCTAACCTAATTACAATATTGTCTCCAAAGTCCTTGCATTTTAAAAATTGTACATAGAGATGTATCAATATCAACTTACATTTATTAAACCCAGAAAGGTAAGATGCTCTGGTCAAAAAATACCGTTTTAAGAAAAATGAAAGAAAAAGTAGATATATGTGCATTTTATAAAGCAGAATACATTAACCATTCAATGAAGTGCAGGTTACTTGTAAATGACATTGTATTACTTCGGTAATATGAAATGGGAAATAGTTTCACCCGACCATAGATGAGTAACAATTCCTATTGCATATAAACACTTTACCGTCTCCAAGTATGAAAAACTTAACAGAAGTGGTTTAAACATTTCATCATCTTTCTTTGGTACACACTAACCTGTAAACTGTCATAAGGAGAAGTTGACTAGAGAGAAAAATGTAATTAATGCCTACCTTATATCAAGTACAAATACATTAAGTTAGATTCTTCATGTATTATAGAAATGGAAAGTTTTGCTGTTCTAAAATATACATCAATTTTCATGATCTTATGTTAAAACTTTAGAAAAATAAACAATTTTGTGAAAAAAAAACTAACCTGTCTACTTCATCTCGAGCCACAATATCTCCTTTCTTTAAGGCTTTTATAGCAAACATCTCGTTTGTGTGTTTATATTCAGCCAAAAGCACCTGAAATGAGATTAAAATAGGTACTTTCTATTTGAGTTATTACTTTTAAAGTCATTCCAAGAAAACTTAAAAAGATTACCTTTCCAAAATGTCCTCTACCCAAGACAGCACAACATCTGAAGTCTTGTAGATTAAACTGAAACATCTGTTGAGATCTGAAAACAGTATGTCAATTAAAAATAAGGAAAAAGTATGGGACCAAACATGTAGTAGCAAAGCTGTATACATATTCTTTACCTTCTATCCTCAAGTTCTCGAACACCACTGTATCCTAGGCCTGGTTGAGGAATATCAGGCTCATATTCAGATTGAGATTTTGGAAGTATACTATTTCTGTCATTCTCAATAGCAAAAACAGCTTCTGAATCCTATAAAATATTAAATACTCATTAAATCATAGAAACATTAAGAAAACAACTTATTTGGTAAAGTTTAAAAATGTCAAAAGTCAATAAAAATATTATTGAGAAAAGTAAAATCCAGATAATGGACATTCATTAAGAGTTGTTAATTCTACATTACACTTGCCTAAAAATTTTGAAAAATGAACACATTATCATCACCTTCAATGAATATTCTGAAATTATGTTAACCAAGTTAGAAGATGAAGAGTGAGGCAATATACCATCTTATATCAACCATGTTCTTATGCTTTTAGCTTCAGCAATCTATTCAATCCCTACGGGCCCATGAGCATCCAGAGGTTTTATGTTTCACTCACAAGAAACATAAAAACAGTTCACACATGCAACTTTTAACTGAAATGTACACCTCATTCACTATGATGCTTTTATTGGTAATTCATTTGGCAAAAAGGAATTATACGAGGTTTAAACGCCTTGCCTGTCTCGGTGTATCCGAATCTCTTAATTCAGCAGATTCATCTATTTCTCCAAGGGAAGAGTCACGTGGTGGGGCCGGAGGAGGTTCAGGTTCAAGATCAAAGTCCAATTTGGTTACTGTAGAATCACTTATAGAAGATAAAGCAATTCACCAAAAACGGTAATCAAAAGTATATACTTTAAGTAGCTTTAAAATTAGAGCAAACTTTTTTTTTCTTTTTTTACTTTTTGAAAGTAAGCAGAACACTGATTTCAAAATACTCTTTAGAAAAAATCAGATTTTTAATAGACCCACTGTAAGCAGTATGCATGAATGTTACAGTAACTATTTTATAAAAGCGATGCTTAAAAATCTTAAGACACATACCCAGCTGGAGGTGCTAGTTCAGGGATGCGTACATCAACCACTGGCACTGTAGCAGGCACAGAGGCTTGAGGGCTAAAGGTGCCAGAATGATTTACTGTTGGAATAGCTCTTCTCACTAGTCTTCCCCAAGTGGCAATATTAATATTCATTTGAGGAGCTCTGAGAAATGTTTTGCCTATGGATATTGTGAATAAAGAAAATAGAATAAGTAATTTTTTTATATATTACCAAAAGCCATAATTTAAAAATTCATATTCATTGGTTTATAATTTATGAAGAACAAACAAAATTTGTCACTTAAAAATAGTTCTTAACTATTTGTTATTAAAGGCTGGTGAAAAGTAGTGAAAATAGTTTTAAAAATAAATAGGAAGGAACTGTTTTTTGTTTTTGTTTTTTTTTAAGTCTAGGAATGATATGTGGCTAAGGTTTAAAAAAACAATTCTCTAAAAATAAAAGAATTATCTTTTAGAGATACTAACTGTATTTGTGGATGAATCAATAGGAGGTCTAGGTTTGCTTCTTATAATCTGAGAAAGTAGTATGTGGACGGGCTAGAGTGAAACAAAACTGGCCATGAGTTGAATGCTGTTGAGGATGAGTGATGGTACATTGTACTAGTCTGTTAGGATATGTTTGAAATATTCCTTAATAAGAAGTTAGAAATGAATAAAAGCAAAACAAAAAACAAAGTTGGGTATTACTTTTAATGTTGGTTTTCTATATTTAAGAATACACCAAAATAAACTGTATTTGATTCCTTAGTTAACTACCTTGTTGTTTTGAAAAAATTTTCTTTTGTCTTTGGAGTTTGGGTCTTCTTTCAATAACTGGATTAAAAAAGGTAACCTGCAGTGAAGAAAATTCAAGTTGACATGAATATAGCTTTGGCTTTATGCTTCATGAAATTCACTAAACTCCTAAGTATTGAAAACTTGAGAATCTTAGATATAATTTAAGCCCAACTTCTCATTTTCTAGATGAAAAAACAGACCTAGAGAGGATGATGATTTGTCTTAAGGTAATACACTTGTGCAGTAGTAGCGTTGAGCCAAAGATTCAAGTTGTCTAATGTTCAGCCTAATTCTCTTTCTACTTCTATGTCATGCTGCCTACATATATAATTCCAATTATAGTGATGTACGTTTAATAAAATATATTTATTACCTCTGCAAATAAAGTACCCTGTGGTTCCAAATAGAGACACATGCCATGCCGTTGGTTGTCTAAAAAATCTTCTAACCTCAGAAATTTTACAGCACACAGAGATCGCCAATCACGCCAATAAACTGAAATTTCCAGTTCACGTGACTAGGATAATTAAAAAAAAATAAAGATAACAGAGAAGACATGATTGGACACACACTTGAATAAAATATCACAAAAAATATAAAATACAAATACATAAACAAAGATAACACACACAAAAGGTACACTATTTTAAAGAGTGCTTTGTAATGTTTCTCTATTATATATTATTTTAACAAACTTACATATTTTAACTCCAAGGAACAAATTTTTATTTCCACAATCTCTAGCTAAGATATTCCTATTATAAAGAATACACATCTGGGACCAATACAGATGAATGACCACAGAGACTCTTTGCTATGTAATAGCTTCAGTCTTTCAGATTTTCCTTCTCCACTTGGTATCACTTGCTGAGCTGTTGCTAGAAGACCTCAGTGCTCTCCTCAAAGAACCCATTTCAAACTGTCTTATTTCCTTGTCCCCATGTTGAATTAGGGAAAGGTCTACAAATAGCATTTATCCTGCACTTACAGTGCGCCCCACACACTGTGCTAAGCACTTTAAAAGTATTATGTCATTTAATCTTCAGAAGAATACCACCGGGTAATAGGACTAGTGACAGCAGGGGCCTGTGCAGGTAGGGGGCAAAAGGAAAATTCAGAATAAGTTTATACAAAAAGATATTCATTTATTACAGCAGCTCCCCCCACCCCCTGGTTCTCCCTGCAAAAGGCAGCAAATTAGCAACAAACCGAATGTCCAAAAACTAAGGGACAAGTATATTATACCATATCCATATGAGGGAATTCTCTATAATCATTAAAAATAATGCTTATGTGGAAAAACCTACTTAAGACTTTAACGATTATTTTTATTATTTTTAATTTGAGAGAGCGTGCGCGCATGTGAGCAGGAGAGGGGGCAGAAGCAAAGGGAGACAAATCTCAAGCAGGTTCCAGGTTCAGTGTGGAGGCTAATGCAGGGTTTGATCCCATGGCTGGGGGATTATGACCTCAGTCGAAATTGGGAGTCAGATGTTCAACCGACTGAGACAGCCAGGCACACCCCTTTTTTTATTTTAGTGTGCACAAGTGGGAGAGAGGGAGGGAGAGGAGAGAGAGAGGGACAGAATCTTAAGCAAGCTCCATGCTCAGTGCAGAGCCTGATGTGGGCTCTATCCTACAACCTTGGAATTATGACCTGAGCCGAAATAAAGAGTCGGACACTCAACCAACTGAGCCACCCAGGCACCCCCATATTTAAGGCTTTAACAATCAATTAAAACATAATTACAACAGTGTAGAACACAGCTTGTAAGTTGGGGGCCAAGCCAAACTCTACATATATGTTATAATCGACATACATTCTAATTAGAAAGCACCAGACTTTTCTATGATTTTGCAAACCATCTGCAAGAAGAGATAAACATCTTTCCCCCCTTAAGCTCAACAAAGTAATAAATTACTTCTTTCATATACTAACTTTCAACTCAGGAACTTATGCCTATTACATAAGCTCCTAGTACTTAACAGATCCTGTGACTTTAAATAATGAGTTGATGCAAATGAATATAAAAAACACTTAACAAAAAACAGAACATGAAAAAAAAGTGAGTCAAGACACAACGTGCCAGGTCTCATCAGAAAAAGGTATCTATGGCAGTATGTGAACCAAGGGCCTCTTACTTCATTTCTTCTGACACATAGTTACTGTGAGAGAGAATACTCATCATTAAAGGGGAAGTATGAGTAGAGTAGAATTCTTTTTTAAGATCAGCAAATGGCATTTATTTAAGTTAAAAGTTTAAGTATTTTGGTAAATACACTGAATGGATAACTGAACCAGGGATTGGTAACTTAGACTACACTGTTTCAGACTAGAGGAGAAGAGGTCTACTTCCTCCTATATTATTTTGCCACATCAAGGAGGAAGACCTGTGATGGATCAGACAGACAGATGCAAGGGGCATAGGTGCTGGGAAGTTCTTACTTATAAGAAGTTGTAAGAAGTTCTTGTAAGATCTTACTTATACTTTCACATCGCTAACATCTGACACATGGTTAAATTTATATCTTTCTCTGGATGAGAAGAAGAGGTCCAATCACCTTATTTATATTTATTCTAGCCACTCTGGTAAAACATACCGGCTCATTTCATTCTGCTTTCTCTTCATTCCATGCCTTAAACTGAAGTGTGTTAGAAAGATCTCAGAGTTGAGATGGAAGGTCATCTCAAGGCCTTAAGCTAGCTTTCCTAGAGTTCTACTTTGAGATTTTAGGTATAAATTTATTCACTTTTTGTTACTTTGCATTGTTCGTTGGGAAATAGAACTGTACAATTTAAGGGGGAGGGTGACTGTGATCTAGAGCAGATTATGTTATTTTATGTCAACACTCCAAACACTGTTTCATGGAACCCCAAACCTACTTCAGTCTCTAACATCTGGTGTGATTTGGGTAGGTAAAGTAGGGATACAGCACCTAAAAAGGAAAACACTTTTTATATAAAGACATGTCTCTAATATTTATAGAATTTAAACTGTAAGTGTGACTGCTCATCTGCTGGCAATTTTCCAGATGAAGCAGGCCAGTTCTATAGAGCTAGAACATGCTTTAAGTGATGTCAAACTGTAAGAGCAACAAAATTCTAGATAGTGTAAAACCACCACTACAATAGCTGAGCAGTATAATCTGAGCTACTGATGGGCAGCACTAGTAAATTGTCCCAATTTGTTCTTTATTTGGTCTTACGAATTTGAACCTAGGGTCAGAGAAAAAAACACGGAAGATCTAAGGCACCTGTAAGATTTGTCTCAAGTCTCCTTAAGGCCTTGAAAGTAAACAGAAAAAGGTAAAAAAGACATTGAATCAGCCCTACATGTAGGAGAGGAAGGAGAACAACTTAAAAAAAACTGTGCTTCAAAAAAAAAAAAAAAAAATGTGCTTCAATTTAAAAACCTTGGCACAAATCTAGCATAAAAAGACCTGAAGCACAAGGAAGGCTGAAGTTTCCAAACTGTTCGTGAGGAACTCTGGGACAATGGAGGCTATTTTAACTTTACAAAGTTAACACAGTGACATCTGTGGGACACTGTTAAATACTAGCTCATGGTAAGCTCAGTTTCAACAACCGAATGTACCACATTCCTTTGGATGACATCTTCCTATCTTTGCTAAATTGGGTTTTCAACAACTGATTTTTTCCACATGAAAAATCAATGTGTAAGCATGCTGTGTTCACGCTTTGAGAAGTTATGTAGTATACAACAAGCAGACATACTCCATTAGTAAGTAACTGGTTACGCAAAAATGAAGTAAAAATACTGTATTTTCTTTCAATTTTTTTTCACTCAAAAAGTACTAATTAGTTAGAATATAAGTACTAAATAAATATTTTTTAACTACTCTTTAAGTTAGGTATAAATTATGGGAACCAATTTGACAAATTATATTAGATAAACAAGTTAGGTATAATGACAAATAAAATTGTGACATAAAGTATATATGATATTTTGACATATGTATATACTATGCAGATTCCTCCCATTTAATTAACACATTCATCACCTCAGTAAATTGCATTTATATAGTGTTATTAACTACAGTCACCATGTTATACACTGGATGCTCAGACTTTATTCATTTTATATCTAAAGTTTTTACTTTTTTTTT